CCCCTCCGGTGACCATTTGTTTTTCAATCGAAGTGCTTCCCCCAGGGCTCGCACCCTTTTTTCTCTTTTCTGACTTCTTTCAGGGAAAATCGCCGGGGTCAAACTTCGTTGTTGTCCCCGGGATCACAACAACAACGACTCCCGCCTGAAACTTCCTCATAATCAAGCCAAGACCCCCGCTCCCGCCTGAGATTTCCTCGCATCATACTCAGGAGTCGCGCTCTCGCTGGGGACTTCCTTACGATTTAGGAATCGATTTCTCGGTGCTTTGGATTCGCGCTCTCGCTGGGGACTTGCTTGCAATCAATTCAAGAATCGCGTTTTTGCGTTTGACTTCCTCGAATTTTACTCAGGCGCCGCGTTCTCGACACTCAGGCACCCAGCAGTCGCGCTCACTATTAGGACTCCCTCGCAACTCACTTAAGAATCTGGATCTCGCTGCCCTTCGTGGCCCCGTTATAACCCTTCGTGGCCCCTTCGTTGCCCTTCGTGGACCCGTTGCGGTCCTTCGTGGCCCCTTCGCTGCCCTTCGGCCCCCTCGCTGCCTCTTGTGGCCCCGATGCAGCCCTTCGTGGCCCCCTCACTGCCCTTCGTGGCCCCTTTGCAACCCTTCGTGGCCTCCTCGCTGCCCTTCGCGGCCCCGTTGCAGCCCGTCGTGGCCTCCTCGTTGCCCTTCGTGGCCCCGTATGCATGCGCTTAACGGCCCCCGCTCGTTCGCCCCCGTCGTGGCCCCATATGCATGCGCTTCGTGGCCCCGCCGTCGCCCTTCGCGGCCCCCATCGCTGCCCTTCGTGGCCCCGTTGCTACCCTCAGTGGCCCCGTCCTTACCCTCTACGGCGCAGTTTCCGCGCGCCTTTCGTGGCCCCCGCTCGTTCGCGCCCGTCGTGGTTCCATGCGCGTGCCCTTCGTGGCCCCGCTGTCGCCATTTGCGGCCCCCTCGCTGGCCAACGTGGCCCCGTTGCTACCCTCAGTGGCCCCGTCGTTGCCCTGTGGCCCCGCATTTTCAGCCCTTCGTGGCCCCCGCTCGTTCGCGCCCGTCGTGGCCCCATACGCATGCCCTTCGTGGCCCTGCTGCCGCCCTTCGTGGCCCCCTTACTGCCCTTCGTGGCCCCGCTGTCGCTTTCGCTCTCGCTCTCGCTTTCTCTCGTCGTCGTCGTCGCCGTCGCCGTCGTCATCGCCGTCGTCGTCAGTCCCCTGTCCGTCCCTCTTGGGGTCGGGCTGCCGCCGGTCAGCGCTGCCGCTGGCCAGACCGACGGTCCGCGGCTGCCCCGCCGCTTGCCGGGGCCCGGCTTGCAGGGAAGAAAGATATCCCCCCCAAAAGAGTACGATCGAAGACGGAGAGGGCGGGTATCGAGGGTTTGGGAAATACACGTGGGATGACACTCGAGAAAATACGAACGAACAATCTTAAACTGATTGTTGTTGTTGCTGTTGCTGTTGCGGGTGTCGAGGGTGTGGGATATACGTGGTAATGGCACGCGAGCAGCGAAGAGCGAACAGTCTTAAAATGATTGTAGTTGTTGCTGTTGTTGCTGTTGATGTAAAAATTCCACTTCTGAAGAATAATTATAATTGATTGTCCCCGCCTGGTGCACATTGTACTTTTCACATTGAAGTGCCCCTCCCGAGGCTCGCACCCTGTCTTTAACAAGGGGAAGCTGGGTGTCACCAAACTGCGCCCCTGGCCCCCAGCTTGCAACAACAACGGCTCCCGCCTGATACTTCCTCACAATTGGACGCCGCGCCCTCGACACTCAGGACTCACGCTCTCGCCGTGGATTTCCTCACGATTTATTTGGGATTCGCGCTGTCGCACGAGACTTCCTCGCGATTCATGCAAGACGCACGCTTCAGCAAGCCACCCGCCCCTTCCCTTCCTTCCCTTCCTTCCATCCGTCCTCTCTTCCCCTGCCTTAGGGGCTGCACGAAGCACGCGTTGCAGGCAAGAAAGATATACCCCTGAGGGGGCGCGATCGAACACGAAGAGGGCGGGTATCCCAGCCCCGCCAGACCCCACCACCCGCACCACCACCACCAGCAATACCCAGGAGGCATGTGGAGAAGGGATTACAGTAGAGGCCAGTCCACAAGAAACCTTCCACGAGAAACCCAACCCTGAGACCCCAAGACTTCTAGTGGCTTTCGGGGTGGGAGCGTCGCGCCTTGCACAGCAAACCATCGAAACCCAAGAAAACCAGGGCACCCTGGAGGCAAGCAGGGTGCTTCTTGGCATGGGCCTCCACTGCTCAGTCGGGCTGCTGAAATAAGGAGCGCTAAATGAGGAACGAAGCCCCTCTGCGGCTTCTGAAAGTCCTCGGTGCACGAGAAGGGCTAGAGGAACACCCGCGGAAGGACGTAAGGAACATCGAGCCCCTTCCGAATCCGAACTGCTCCTTATTTCAGCGTCCTGGCTGTAATCAAGGGGGAGGGGGAGGAAGGGGGGGGAGGAGGAGGAGAAGGAGGAGGAGGAGAAGGAGGAGGAGGAGGAACTCAGGTGCTTCTTGGCGTGGGCGCCCAATGCAATCAGCACGAGGACCCCCCCCCCCCGAAGCCCCGAGAGGCGGACGGCGAGCGGCCTGCCGCAGGAGTGGGGGGCCGGCGGCGGACGGAGGCCCCTGCCCGGGGGCCTCGGAGCGACGCGCTCCAGGGAGCGAGTGCGAGAGCGTGTTGGGCACGAGCCTTTTTGTTTTCGAGAGGGGGGGAAAGAGGGAAGGGGGGAGAAGGGAAGGACAGGGAACAGGGGAAGGGGGGGAGAAGGGAAAGGGGGGGCACGAGCATTTTTTACTTGAAAGGAGGGGCGCGAATGCGAGAGCGTGTTGTAGAGGGCCAAAGATCCCCCCCCCATAATAACCACCCCGACAAGCGAGGCCGTTTAGTAAACGCACCCATGGAAGGAATCAAACGGGGCAGGGCTGTTTAGTAAACGCCCAGGGCCGTTTAGTAAACGCCAATTGTCCGATCCGGGTGGTTTTTACTCCCTTGATGTTGGGCACGAGCCATTTTTTATTAAAAGGGGGGGAAAAGGGAAGGACAGGGAACGCGCGAAGCACCAGCCAGAAGCCACTCGCCATCAGCTGCCTGCAACGCCACTGGCGGACAGATCCAGCCGGGACTGCGTGCTGGGCACGAGCATGTGAGGGACGATCAAAAGCATGTCTTACGCGAGATGGCATGGTGACCTCACGCTGCGGCGTACCTGGGCCGCCATCGCGGCATTCTACGTTGGAAACGAGGGCGCTTGCGCGCGAGTTTGCGCGGGCAACTTGCGCGCCAGTGCCGGCGAAGACGAACCCGTTCTTCTGCGTCGCTCATGCGTGCCAGACCCTTTCAGACCCGTGCCCAGATCAGGCTCTCACGCATTTTTGAGGCAGGCCCGTCGTCTGCACTGCCAGAGGTGCTGTGATGGCGTGGTGCAGTCTGCAGTGTTCTCTGCTCGCTTCTCCAAGCGAGGCGCGCTGTCTGCTTTTTGTTGGCCTGGCCCCTTCGCGTGTCCAGCCCGTCTTCTGCGTGTCGCCCCTCCCAAGGAGAGCTGGCCCGACCTGCGAGGCCCTGGGGCCGGCGGAACCGGCCCGTCGGCGCACCCGCTGGCCACCTCGTGCAATGAGTCCTGTGCAAAGCCGGGGCTCGGCGGGTGCTCATCTGTTCGTTTTGCGGGGGCTTCGCTGTGAGCATCATGACCTGGCCATCGCTCGGACGTCCATTCCCTGTGCTTTTGTCGGCTTCGTGCGTGGCTTTTTCGCAGGATGGTCCAGGATGCTCCTAAATAATCCCCGCCGGGCGATACTCTGTGCACACGTCCGAGCGATACCAAGTGAAACGGCTGAATGATCCCTGCCAACAGCCCGCTCGGAAAAGGGTAGAAGCTTTGAACCGCCTCGAGAGAGGGCTCCCGCCAAAGTCGGGAATGTCCTTCCCTCGGTCATTGGGTGAGGTGGCCAGGCTAGCATGTGGGAGCCACGTTTTCGCCATAGCACCATTCATAGCTCCTTGTCCTCCAGAGGAGGCACCTTCTGGGAGGGTGGAGGATCTTTGGAAGCACAGCACACGCTAACATGGACTAGGGATGAGGAGCTTCTGGGGAGGTTGGAAGATTTTGGGAGGCGCCGCACACGCTAATATAGGCTATGAATGCATGAGCCTAGTTTCGCTCCAGGAGTTAGGAATACGAGAATCTGGCGCGAGGCACAGCACGCGCTAACGTGGACCGGGGGGATGCGTGGATCTGGCGCGCAGCATGGGTCGGGGGTCAGTGGATCCGGCGCGCGGGCGCCAGGCCCACGGCACCTCCCGAAACATGAGGCCAATGCCGCCCGACTTGGCGACCGAGCGTGCCGATCCTGCACGGAGGCGGGACACGCCGCGAATGCATGCGCCTGAACCCATGTCTGCGCCTCCTCGAAGGAAGAGGAGGAGGAGGCGGAGGAGGAGGCGGCGGAGGCGGAAACGGAGGCGGAGGAGGAGAAGGAGGAGGCGGGGGCGGATGGGGAGGAGGAGGATGATGATGATGATGATGATGAGGAGGAGGAGGAGGAGGAGGAGGAGGAGGAGGAGGCGGAGGAGGAGGACGGGGGCTGCCTCCTCCCTCCCCCTGCTGCTAAGACACGTCCGAAACGCAATCAACAACGAGGTCCCTGATGGCGCGCGCCCTCGCCCCACAGATGCTGTGTCGCCGCCGCCGACGACGCGCCCCCACGCGACCTGGGACTCGCGATCCTCGAACACTCGATGCTCGACCCTCCCTTCTCGAACCTCGGCCCTCGAACCTCTCTCCTCCTCTCCCTCCCCATGCGGCTCACGCGGCAAGAGAGGCGGAAACGTAAAGGTACCGATGCCGCTGCTGCACAACCCTCTCCTGGGGTGCGTCTTGACCATACTTTCGAGGCGAATCCAGCGGTGGCGACGAGGGCCTCCCAGGAGGCCGACAAACGGGAAAACGGGGGAAGGGCAGAGGTATGGGTACCTTTTCGTCCTCTGACATGCGGCCCACGCGGCCCGAGATCCTGACGAGGCAGTTCACTTGATGCGCGTCCATGCCCTTGCTTAACCACTCGAACTGCGAGCAGTAGCTCGTGTTCTCCTGGCGGCTGGCGCCACCCGGAGACGAGGGTCCGAGGATCGCCTCGTGTGCTGATATTCGGAAGCAGCTCCTACAACATCTTCACAATAACATTAACGTCTACCCAAGCCCGACAGGTTACAATTGAGCCAGATCAAGCCCAGGATTGCGCCCAAGTGAGTAGGAACGGGATTCAGCTAGATCAGGCATGATTAGGCAAGATTCCTAGCCGGCCGCTCTGTGGTTGATCGGGGGTCCCACCAGCCTTCTAGGCGTAGGTGGTCTAGGGAGGCTCCTCTTCCAACCCCCTTCTTCCCATCGGGGAGGGGTTTTCCCCCTCCCCCCTCCCCTGGACCTGGACGGGGCGCCCCGCGAGCGGTCAGAGCATCTAAGATGGCCCAAGACGGCGCCAAGAAGGCCTCATAGAGCCCAAGATGACTTCCAAGGCGGCCCTAGATAGCCCAAGATGGCTCGAAATGGCTCCCAAAATGCTCCAAGAAGCCCAAGACCGCTCCAAGACGGGTCCAAGTGGCTACGGAACCTCCACATGAGGCCGCCAAGAGGCCCAAATCCTTCAGAAACCGAAGGAAGATCAATGCTTTGTGCCTTCTCGCCATTTCGTTTCCGATGGCCTTCCGAGGCCTCAAGACGGCTCCAACAGGGCTCCAGAGGGCTCCAAAAAAGGCCCAAGAGAGACCCAAGAGCGCCCCCAAGAGGGGCCCAAGAGGCGATTTTTTGGGCTCCCGAAGGGGGAACGAAATTGGGGGTTCCATCTTTTTTGATCGATCTACTCCGAGATGACCCAAAGAGAGCTCCCAAGGCTCCCAAGAGCAGAGGGCCCCAAGAGGCGCCCAGGAGGCCCCAAGAGGCCTCCAAAAGGCTCCCAAGAGACCCCCAAGAGACCCCCCAGAGGCCCCAAGAGGCCCCCCGAGGCGCTCCAAGAGGCCTGTGGGACCGCCAAGAGGCCCCCAAGACGCTCCAAGAGGTCTCCCAAAAGCTTCCAAGAAACATCCGAGGAGACTGTCAAAAGCAACTCGCCTGGGCATCGTTTCTGGATGGGCTGGTGGAGATACTTTTTAGTCAGCGGCCGCGGGCGATCGCGCCGGCGGCGAGTCAGGTCAAAGTGGGCTACGCAGAGACTAATTAAGCAAAGGCAGCGCGAACAGGCTACGACTAACGCAGCAAGCCGAGGCCAAACGCGGCGGCCCAGCGACGGGCGGGTGGCAGGGGAGACTGAAACTGAGTCGAGCTGCCAGCGTGCAAGTATGCAGGGCGTCGGAAGCACTAGGAAGTCGGGATAAGGCATGAGTCCGGACCCCGGGCACCTGCGTGGGCAGGCTGGTGGGGATACGCGAGCGTCAAGAGTTTCTGCATATACGAAGCAAGGGCGTGTGCTTGTGGGCGAGAGGAGAATGAGCAGAAGGCAATTGTGCCGCGGGTGAGGATTGCGCCCGTGCGAGAGGAGATTGGGCGTGCGCGTGTGAGCGAGCGTGAGCCTTAGATTGGGAGACGCCCAGGTCGACTCTTGCGAGGATGTCTTGAGCGAGAACCCCAGACTGGGACACGCCCCGGCAGATCATCGGAAATGGTCCCTGGGGGCGCTTTGGGGCCTGACTTCCACGCGCGCCGGGGGTCGACTTCGGGCGGATGTCTCGAGCGAGAGCCCCAGACTGGGACACGCCCAGAGCGCCCCGGCGCGCGTCTGAGGGCCTCCTGGGGAAGGCTTGCGAGGCAAGCTTATTGAGGCAAGGTCCCACGCGAGGGCGCCAGTTTGGACTTCGTCGCCGGATTTCCTAGATTTCCCGGAGTCGGAAAAGTGGTGCCTCTGAGGGCCTCCTTGGGCAGACCCGATGGGGCCAGCTTTCTGAGGATACGACAGGCACCAATTTGGGCTTCGTCGCCAGATTTCCCGGAACCCGGAAACGTTACAAGGGGGGCTCTGAGAGCCTCCTTGGGGAAGCTCGGGGGCCTCGTTTTCTGACGATGTCCCACGCGAGAACGTCGGTTTGGAATTCGTCGCCGGGCTTCTCAGATTTCCCAGATTTCCTGGAAAGAACAGGGGTGGGCGGGTTGGCGGGCCCATTCGCTCGCGCGCCGGGGGTCAGGACGACGTGAGCTCTCAAAACTAACTCCCTCAAAAACGATGTTCGACCAAAGGCGTACCAACGCCGGTGCTAAATGCCACCTCCCAAGACTCGTATCCGAACTGATCTGCCTCTTCCGTCACCTTGGGTCCCGAGGGCCTCGGGACGACTTCAGGGGCCCCCCCTGGGGAGCCTCCCACGGCATCTGGCGACGTGGCTGTGCGGAGGCGAGGACGAGGGAAGGCTGGGGAACGGGGAGCGATCAGTCGGGGTCCCCGAACGTCGCGCATCGCGCCCCGCGATGCGCGACCATCTTCGCGCCCTCACGCCCTCGCGCCGCGCGCCGCGCGACCGTTCATCTTCGCGCCCCCGCGGGTGACCTGGGCGGTCTGGGTTCTTTCAGGTCGGGCGCGTCCTCGTACAGGCGGATTTTTGACGAAAAATGAAACATAGGTAAAACATGTTTAAGAATGCAGAAGCATACTCAACACATCGTCCCCTGATCATTTTCTTACTTCTGAATCTTCCGTCTGTAGTGGGACAAGCCCGACTTAAGGGTTCTTCGAGGCGAGGCCCACCTTTCTGGACTACAGCTCGGGACTCCACCGGCCGATCGTTGGACGATCAGGGGCACGCCCAGACCGCTCTCGACGAGGCGCTCCCGAAAAGTATCCCGACCGCTCTCGACGAGGCGCTCTCGACGATCTGGGGATCGCCCGGAAAGCATCCCGAGGCCTACATCCCAGAGATAGCTTCGATCACCCAGAGAAGTATGGAAACAAAATCGAACAAGCATCGCCTCGCAGGACCCGACACGCGAACACTCTCCAGTTTCGATATTTTCTTAGTGCTCGAAAGTCTTTCTGGTGATCAAGGCTACAGTAGGTTGGAACATCATTACCCGAGGCCAAAAAACCTGCAAGAGCCGAAGAAACAGAGGCCTCCCAGATGTGGCCGGAGAATAGATGGGGTCGGAGGACCTCGCCGCATCGTCGATGCATCACCAATGCATCGGCGATGCATCGGCGACGTCGGCGTTGAGAAAGCCGTTCTCCACATCGAGCCACATGCATCGGCGATGCGGCGCGATCCTCCGACTCTGTCTACTCCGACCCCATCTGGGAGGCCAAACAATGAGGAGTGAGAGAGGAAGAGAACCGGCGCCCTCACGTTGCCCCCCAACTTCTGGGTCACAACTCGGCTCTCCCGCGGCTGTCCGGGACGGTCCAACACCAATCCGCAAATACCCGTGACACCGCGCCTTTTCGCGATCCTGCGCAGAATCTCCATACCCTCGTCTCCGCGCAGAATCTCAATACCCTTCTCGTGGCTTTTACAGTGGAGGCCAGTCCACAAGAAACCTTCCACAAGAAACCCAGCCCTGAGAGCCCAGGGCGTCCTCTGACTCTTGAGTGTGGGAACGTCACGCTCTCCCTGGCAGAAGCATCGAAACCCACGGCACCCTGGAGGCGAGCAGGGTGCTTCTTGGCATGGGCCCCCACTGAACCCTTGTCGTGGTTTTTACTGCGCCTCTCTACCTCTCCACTGGGAGCGCTCTCGGCGAGGCGTTAGGCCGCCGGAGGGCCTCCCCGAGGCTGGAGAGAGCCGGAGCGCCCGAGGACATCGGAGCTCGAACGACGACGACGACGACGACGACGACGACGACGACGACGACGACGACGACGACGACGACGACGACGACGACGGCCACGACGACGACGACGACGACGGCCACGACGACGACAACGCCGCCGCCGTGCCCGCCGCCGCCGTGCCCGCCGCCGCCGTGCCCGCGCCCCTTGCCTGGGCGAGGCGGGGCGCCGGCTGCCGGGCGGGGCGGGGCGCCTCCATCGTGGACGTGTCGACGCTGCCGTCCTTCGGCGGGCGTCGTCGCGGTCGTCGCCGCCGCCGCGACGCCCGCGACGCCGTCGACACCGTCGCCGCGACGACGTGTCGACGCTGCCGTCCTTCGGCGGTCGTCATCGCGGTCGCCGCCGCCGCCGCCGCCGCCGCCGCCTCTTTGCCTCGTTTGGGGTTCAGGTCGCGAGCGCTTGCTCAGCCGCGGCCCCAGCGACCGCCTAACCCGCTCGGCGGGGCGACACGCTTGGAAGGGCTCGGGGCGCTGACGCCTGGGGACCGCGAAGTGGACAGCGTGTCGTGCCGAAGCGTGGTGGGCCAGAACCGGCGGAACGACGCGCTGAGCCACAATTCCTGGCCGTATGTTCTCGCTGCCTGGGCCCTCCCTGGACTCGCTGTTCGGCTACACGCAAGAGTGACCCTGGGTAAGAGCGACCTCTGGTGTGCAGCTTTGGGGGGGTCGCGGGGGGACCAAACTCAGGCGCGCAAGACGCTACTATCGCATCGTAATCGGTGATCGGGGGACCCCATTGTGCCCGCACCAAAGGTCACTCCAGCGAAATGTCACTCTTACGTGTAGTCGAACTGTTCCCGTGTCTTTTGCTCGGGCTTTGCTGGCCGCGCTGGTTCGAGGGCCGGTCCCGCGTCCACCTGGTGGTTCCGGGGAAAGGATGAAGCGGACCCCGCGTCACCGCCGCCGCCGCCGCCGCCGCCGCCATCGTCATCGTCATCATCGGCGTCGTCATCATCGTCGGCGTCGCCGCAGCCGCTGGCGCGGGTTGGCCGGGCTGGGCGGGCGGAGTCGCGCGGGCCCTCTTCCCGCTCCTCCTTCTGCTCCAGTTCCCCCTCCTCCTCCCTTCTTTTTCCTCTTCCTCTTCCTCCTCCTCTTCCTGTTCTTCCCGTTCCTCCTCCTCTTCCTCGTCGTCGTCGTCCTCCTCCTCCTCCATCTCCTCCTCCTCTTCCTCCTCCTGTTCTTCCTCGTCCCGCTCTTGCTCCTCCTCCTCCTCCTCCTCCTCGTCCTCCTCCTCTTCCTTCGCCTGTTCCTGCTCCTCCCTCTGCCAACACCCTCCTCCCCCTCCTCTTCCCCCTCCTGCTCCTCCACTTCCTCCTCCTCCTCCTCCTCCACCTCCTCCTCCTCTTTTTTCTCCTGTGTGCCCCGTGGCCCCCGATTCCGAGGGGACCCCGGGGGGCGATCGGACAAGGCGCGCCCGCGGCCGCGCCCGCATGGCTCTCGCCCGAACGCCGCGCGCGCGCGCGCTCGTTTTAAGAAATTCGGATAGCTTCAGGAATGGAGACCTGGTGGTTTTCGAAACGTGGGCGACGATCAAGAAATGGGCTTGGCGCGAAGTGACGCAGTGACCTTGCGCGGCTGCTCACGCGGGCCACCAGCACGGCACGCTACGCCGCTGGAGACGAGGGCGCTTGCGCGCGACTTTACGCGGGCAGCTGACGCGCCGTTGTCGGCGCAGACGACCCCGTTTGTCGGAATCGCTCACGCATCCCTCGGTTTAGCGCCGCGCACATTCAACATGATCCGGTGCGCATCCACCCGGCACAACCCCCACCAGAAGTCTGCTCGCCCCCATACGAGCGAACATGCACCATCCTATGTAACGAACAGTGCTCGGTGCGCATATGCTGTTCTGCAACATCGACTGACCCCGTGGTCCCGAAAAGCCCGTTTGCACAAAAGGCAACACACATCCATAACTCGATACCATTTAAATCGACACGTTCCGTGCACCCCTCGCCAAATCCGAGTTTGGACCACCACGCCCTCGATGCTGCCTTGGGCGCTCCCAAACGCTCCCACAACGCTCCCAAGCTCGCCATCGCAACAAGCGGCATCCCCATCCTCATCGTTGTCGTCGCCGCAGGAGACTCGAGGAACATGTGAATTCAAATCGCGTGGACGCGTGGGCCGCAACCGGTTTTCACGACGGGGCTCTCGCTGCGCCAGCGCCGCGCACCATCGCTCGACGTAGTCATGGGACATATTGAGGGCGGGTCGTTTCTTTAAAAGGTTCTCGCCCTGCCGCCGTGCGTGCTCGACGCCCGCATTGCCCTTCACTGCGCGAGTGGTTGTATGGCGATGGCCGTGGATCGGCCGGGGCTCGCGCGTGCCCCGGGGGCTGGGTCCGGGGAAAGGGGCGCCGGGCGGCGTTGAAGGCGATTTCGGGAATGCAGCGACGTGGCCCGCTGGGTCGCCAACGACGCCGCCGGGTATCATGTCCGAGGCGAGCGTCGATGCGATGTGCGGCCCGTGCTTAGAGACAGGAGCTGGGGCCAGCGCGTGGAAATCAGGGGGGCCCAGGCGCGGCGACGCGGCTGCCCTGCGCGCGGGCCGCGCTGCGCGCGCCGCTCGAGCCGTCGTCGAATGCGCGCGCCAATGCGCGCGCCAATGCGCGCGCCTCCGAATGGAAGCCCTGCCCGCGCAACGCCGCGCGCGAGCGCCGCCTGGTTTGCGCGCGGCAGGGGGGTGGGTGGAGCGGGGGGGGCAGGCGAGGCGAACTTTTGGTCGTGGAAGACGCGGCGACGGAAGCGGCGGCGGGACAGGGGGGGCGCGCAGGACGCACATGGGGAGAAATATTGACAGTTTGGGCGATGCCTGAAGGGGGTGGCGACGCGGGCCGCGCGGGCGTCGACTCCGCGGGCGGAAGCGCGGGCTGCCTTCCGCGGGGCCCCAGGCCAAAGCGCCTCGGTCAAATTTGGCAGCGGGCGCAGGCTTCGCGAGGTAAAGGCCTCGACGGGCGCGCGCTTCGGGCGGGCGCTGGATTCGGCGGGCACGATCGCGGCGGGGGCGAACTTCAACGGGCGGGCGCGCCAGGGGTCGCAGGCGCCCGCGGGCGCGGACTTCTGCGGGCGCGGATTTCAGCGGGGGGGGAATCCAGCGGGCGCACATGTCCACGTGCGCCGAATTCAGCGGGCGCTGGTGTCATATGGCCCAGGCCTCAGCAAGCGGAGTCTTGAGGTCGCAGGCGTCAGCGGGCGCGGAAATCGCCGGGCGCGCGCGCCGGTTGGCGCGGGCTCCAACGGGCGCCGGCCGCGCCGAGCGCGCGCGCCAGCGGGCGCAGACATCGATGGGCGACGGCTTCCGCGGGCGCCGACTGCAGCGGGCAAGCCGGCGGGCGCGGGCGCCGGCGGGCGCGCGCGCGTCGGCGGACGCAAACGCCAGCGCGCGCAGTCATCGGCGGTCGCAGACGTCAGCGCGCGCGGGCGTCAGCGGGCGCAGTTGACGAGGCGCAGGCGCCAGTGGGCGCCGGCTTCGGCGGGGGCAGACTTCGCTGAGCGAAGATGCCTTTAAGTCCAGATTTCCGCGGGGGTACTATTCGGCGGGCGCAGACGTCGGCGGCGAAGGCGCAGACTTCAAACGGCGTAGGATTGAGAGCGCGCAATGCCCACTTGGCGGAGACTTCGGATCGGGATTTGCTAGAGGTGCCCCCAGTAGAAGGCCCCCCTGGGGCGCCGGGCGCGGCTCCTGGCCCTCCGCCGACAACGACAAACCCGCGGTTGACTTGGCTATTGGGGCGTCGCCCCGCAGGTGCATAATGCTGGGGCGCAAGCGCCAATCGTTAGTCTAGTTTCGCCCGAGGTGCCTGAAACCGGGCTCCACATGCACTTGCAATGCTGCGAAGGCCCCCTATCCCTGTTGGCCGCCGTTATCCTCTGACAGTGAAACATCGAGAGTGGCGCAGGTGCGTTTAGCTGGGGGCAGCTGGGCAACTTCGCCAGCGTGCGAAGAGACGCGTGGAGGTGCTCCGCGGCGCGCCCTCGCGCGCGCCCGCCTTGTTTCTGCTTCGGCCCCAGGCGCGACGTCGCGCGGTGAAATCTCGCTCGGCGAACTGCATCGCAGTTTTGAATGCGGCTGGCTTCATGGCAGGTGGGGCATCATCGGTGGCGTTGCGGCGTCGTTTTCGGAGTGGCGACCGCGCCTTCGGCCAGCGCGCTCGGCGCGCAGTCTCGAGCGCGAGCGGGGCGTCGCTGCGTCCAGGGGCAGGGCGTGCGGCGCGAGACCGAGAACGGATCGCATGCGACATTCGAACGGAACTGGAGAAGGCATTAAAACGGAACGGGGCAGCGAGGAATCTCGAGCTCTAAGCTCCCCAACCAAGCTACGGGCAACGCGCGGCGCGGAGCCGCCTGTCGCGCCGGCGCCCATGCTGCGGGAGTAGGTTGGGGGGCGAAGCGGCGGCGGTGATCGAGCTCGTCGGCCGAAGATCTGCGCCTCTCCTGTCCTGGGGGCGGCCTTCTCACAAGTCATTTATGGGCCGCTGGAAGCGCTCTAATTGTCGGGCGACGGTGCCGGGCGGGTGGCCCAGCCAGGAGGGGGGGCAACTTTGTCCACCCTGGCTGAATGTTTCGCGACGGGGCGCATCGAGCCCCCGGGCCGACTCCCTCCCGTCGCGCGGCGAGCTGGACTGGAGGGCGCGCGGCGAGGCAGAGCTGCGCCGCGAATCGCGGGCGATTTCCGTTCCCCCGAGGGCGTGCGTCTGAGGGGATTGCTTGGGCGATCGCGAGACCGAGCTCTCGACCTCCGTGGAGGGCGAATGGCCCTGCCGCGATCCTCCGGCGCCCCCCGTCCGACCCCGCGCGCGCGCGGGGATGCGCCGCAGCGGGGGGGGGGCGGCGGGGGAAGGGGGGGCAGAGACGGAAGGGGCGCGGGGTGGCGGGGGGGGCCAGGAAGGGCGACGGGAAAGCACGAACCAAAGGAATGTTACAAAGGGAGGGGGGTGAAGCTCAATCACTCGACCCCCGAAGCTACTCTGCCCTCGCGTGGAGCTGTCTGGGAGGGCGTGTCGCGCGGCGACCGCGCCGGGGGCTCGAGCGGGGGCTCGTCGCCCGCCCCGCGCGCCCAATTATCATAATCATTCTTTCCCCTCGAATTCCACCCGCTGCCAATGGTTTTGACGAGGTGATTCCCGCCTGGCGCGATTTGGCGAATCTTAGCGTGGCGAGGTTCGACGATATATTCAACGATTCAACGCGACGCAAATTCACGAGTCTCCGTGCATCTGCGAATTCTGGGGGGGGTCTTGAAAGTTGCGCCGTGGGCCCCCCCCGGGATTTGACGGGGGGGTTCGCGGGGGTCAGGGCCCGCGATTGGCCCCCCCCGCCGGCGGCGCTCCTGGTCGGAGACCGGGGCCCGGGCCCGAGGGGATGAAAAGCGCCGGAAGCAACGGGGGGGGTTCGAACTCCGGGGGCGCAGGACCACGCAGAACCACTATCAAAGGAGAGCCGGCACGGGGTGGTCCAGAGTGCGAGGGGGGCGGGCGCGAGGGGGCCGGATTGGGGCGATGCCAGCGCAGCTTGGCAGCCCGGGCGCCACGGCGCGCGGAGTCAAGCAGAGCGGCGAAGGGGGCCGGGAGGGTCAGGTCAGGGGTGAGAAATGCCGGCGGGCGCCGATATGGCGGGGGGGGCGGGGGGTCCAAACGTCCCAAATTGGGGGGGGCCAGAACGAGAAGAGGGGCCGACGTGGGAGGGGCCCGCAACGTGGCGGGGCCTGAACGGGAAAGGGGCCCGAGCGCGGTGGGGGGGTCGGAATAGGGCGGGGCGGGAGTGGGCGGGGGCGGCCTGGATTGGGGGCGGGTGGGAACAATGATGACCTGAAACGATATGGCGCCGCGGAGGAGAAATGTGCCCGAATTGGAAGGGGCCGTGGCAGGGGGGGGGCCAGAACGGGGGGGCCGGAAAAAAACGGCATCGGAGCGCTGGCTGGGAAGACAGACGTGGGCCAGACTCGGAAAGAGCTGGAGAAGTTTGGGGCGTGAGTGAATGGGGGGGGCGGAATGGAACGGGTCCGCGGCGGGGGGGGCTAGGGGAAGCCCAAATCAGAAAGAGTCCGCGCGGGAGGGGGCCGGGGCGGTGGGGAGGCCCGAAAGGGGCCGGGATGGGGGGGTCCTTTGCCCCCTCCTCCTCCTCCCCCTCCTCCTCCTCCTCCTCCTCTTCCTTCAATTCTTGTTCGCCAGCTCGATCCTCGCCGTCGCCCGCTTTTCGCAGTGGTGCGGCCCAGTTTCCCGGGCCCAATCCTGCGGCGCCCCGCGGGCCCCCGTCCGTGGAAAACCGCGCCCGCCACTGGGTGGTGCCGGCCGTGAGTCGCGGGCGCCCGCAGCCGCGCATCGGGGAAGCGCCGCGTTCAATTGTGGCGACCTGCGTTCGACTGCGGGGCCCCCTGCGACTGGGCGACTGCAGCGGCAATGCGCGATGCTGCGGGTCGCCGCGCAATGTGGGTCGCACCGCGCGCGCGCGCGCTCCGTTCCCATTCGCGGCGACGTGGTCTCCCGGGAACACCCGGCCGCGACGACGTCGTCACGGGGCGGGGCGTTGGGGCGGGGGGCGTCGCGAGCGACCGCCGACTCGAGCGGGCGCGCGGATGCGCCGCAGGAGGCTGGAGTGGGAAACTCCACTTGCAACGATCCGCTGTCTGTTCGATCTTGTCTCGCGGCTCGAATTGATCGCGGGGGGGGGGGGCTGTGTCCGGGGGGCGCCTCGGCCCGGGGGAACTTCGAGCGGCGCCCGATCGGAAGCGGCGGCGAGGGCCAAAGATCCGTGAAAAAAAAACGCGCGAATCACCGAGAGATGATTGCCCAACTTGACTGCGGTCCTTGACTCGACTCAGGGTGTGTGTCGCCCGTTCGAACTGTTTACCTCAGTGCGCTGCCCTCGGCGGCTTCTCTCGGCCTCTCGACTGCCCGAGCGCGCGGTCCTCCGCGTCTCGGCAGCCCGCCCGAATGCGCGGCCATTCCGCTCCATGACTACCCGCTTGCTGTGCGATTTTCGCCTCGACTCCGCGGGGGCGCCCTGGGCGCCGAGTTGACGCGCGTTGGCGGCGACGGAAGGCTTTGCAGCTCGAGGCGCGCGCGCGCGCCAAACTCAGCCTGTAAGCCGGAAGCGAACTCGTTGGTGCCATGACCAGCGGAGGCGCGGCGAAGCACTCTCGGCGCGCGGGCCTAAGCTGCCGCCGGTCGCAACGGGGGCCCCCATTTTCACTGCGCCCCGCACTGGGGCCCCGAACATCTCCGCCCCGAAGCGGGGGCCTCGCCGGCCAACCCCTCATAATCGGGGGCGTCGACAGGAAATCAATCGACGGGCAATTTCGAATACGTCGGTTTTGATTTACTGGCCAGACGGCGGACCTGCAGGGACCATGGAGGAACGAACGTGCTTTGCCCCAAAACGCACCAATATCGCACAAGATAGCGCTGACAGTGGCCCATAAGAGGTCCAATGTGGCCTCAGGAACGCCCAGAAGCGCCCCAATAGCGTCCCAACAAGGATCCAAGATGCCATATTTCGGGCTCCAGACGGGCAGTGCAAACTGGCACTGGCTCGTCATGTCTTGGACGGCCTCCAAAACGGCCCGTAGATGCCACCACCGGTGTCCATGAGGGCCCCGAGAAACCACGAGAGGGCTACAACAACCCACAAACGAGTCCCACGGGAACTCCCGCATGGCTGCGACCAGAACCCGAAAGACTCCCAATGCATCTTGACTCGTCATTGTTGGCCAATCTGCTTCGTCTATGTCCGAATTTGTTCCGTCTCCCAGCAATTCACGTGGGCACCGCTTCTGGCTGGCCTTTTTTTTTTTTTTTTGGGGGGGGGGGCACGAGAAACGTCAAAAACATGGAAAACATCTGGCCGATCTTGTGTGGAACGGACTACCACAGCACCTTCTCTGTTTAAATTTGCACGCTTCCCCGTTCAGCCTCATGTACGTTACCTGTTGGGTTGAATCTAGAAGGCGTGATAATACAAAAACATCAGTGCGACTGACTCCCTTCGGCTCTGCAGTAAGCAGCAGCATCCAGCTCCAATTGGAGTAGGAACAGAGCCGAACAGAGGCGGATAATGGTACGACTGGGCATAACAAAAAATCCGTCATAATGCGCTATTCGTGTGTACATATTTGCTCCTTGCAGGGTGTAGCGCGGCCGAACGAAAAAGCAGCTTCGATATGATCTGTGCAGGGGTCACACCAACTTGGTCCAAATCCTGTTGTGAATGTTGCGGGCATAGTGCCCCCCTAAACATCTCGCGTTTTCAAGCGAGGACCTCTGACCCTGGGTCACACACAAGCCATGCATACCACCGCCGCTCTTATTAGACAAGGACTCCTCCAGGGTCTGTTGCCTCCTGGGCAAGTTCCTTGTCGAACGCCCCCGCCATATTGGGGTCAACCTGTGGCACCGCGCACATTCGAATACAAAGTCCACCATCCACAATCACGTGACCATTCCTCGGCCTGCATGACACGGCGTTCCATGTTGTGTAACAACTAACAAAGATGGAAGGCGGCTCCGCTTTCGAAGCGAAGGTTCCGCGTGATGCTTCCGCGAATCATACGTCCACGACTTTAACACCCTGTCACGCTTAGACTGATGTAAGGTGCGTAACTCTAAATATGAGGCTATCCATGGGCCTCCCTGAAGGGCACTCGCGTGGGACTTGCGCAGAGCATGCGTTTACGGCTTTAACATCTTGCAGCGCTTATATTGAAACAAGGCATGTGTTTCTCCAAATGGGCCTACCCCGGGGGGATCCTTTACAACAAGCGCCCTCGTCTGCCTGGCGGACCGACCTGCCACTCGTCATTTAAGGGGGGCGCCCGCAGTGGGAAGGAAGACTTGTATGGACTTATCACGGAAGGTGTTAGGACGGAAAAATCGATTGCAGCATCAGTTGATGTATCTTGGTTTTACTCTTGTCCTCCTCCTCCTCCTCCTCCTCCTCCTCCTCTTTCTCCTCCTCCTCCTGCTTCTCCTGGTCCTCTTCATGCTCCTCCTCATTCCTCCCTAGCTAGGCTCTGCCTAGAAGGGTTCTTACTCGGTATGCTTAAAGGGCTGGGCAGTGCAACTCGCCCCAGGCGGTTCCCCAGTATCCGCCCCGCGGTTCCCCCAGTGACGTTCCCTGAGCTTAGCGTTGCTTACCTCATCTTAGCTTAGCTCATTTCATCTTAGCTTAGCTTCATCGTAGCTTAACTTAGCTTCATGTAGATGTTGTTTTCCTAGATCCTCCAACTCCTAGGAAGGGTCGCACTGGGCTAATCCAGCTCCTTCTCCAGCTCTTCCTCATTCTCTTCCTGCTTCTGTGCTTCCTTCTGTCTCCTCCTTCTCCTCCTTCTCATGTTCTTCCCCATCTTCCGCCCAAATCTCTGGAGGTCCCCGGAGGTTTACGATGGAGGTCTTCACAAGTCTCGGAGTCCCAGACGCTCCGAATCCTCGATCCTCGGATTCCTCGGATTCCTCCTCCAGCTCCGCCCCCTCCCCCGTTCCTCGCTCAGCGTCCAGTGGTAGTCCCGCTTCGCGTTGAGGAGCGCGGCGATCTTCGCGCGCACGGGCCTCGCGTCCGAGGAGCCAAGGGCCGGCGGGGGCCCTCTCCCAGGGGGAGGGCGGCAGAGACTCCGCGGAGGCAGGGCAGGGCAGGGGCGCTCGAAGGCCCCGCGCAGCTGAGCTTGCTGGGAGACCTCTGCGTGATGCTGAATGGGCCCTGGGACACGCCAATAAGTACACACAAATGAAAGGACTCCCCATCTTTTCCCATACTTTCTGGGTTTTTGTCTTCCCCCCCACTTCCCATATTTTCCTGGGAGTGGACGTTTCATTGTGTCTGTGTGTTTTTTCCCCTCCTGAGATACTCGGATGCAGGTGCCCGAAACGGGGGGGAGGAGCGCGCCGAGTCCGCCGGCCGGTCGGCCAGCAGGCCCCCTGGGGGCAGCGCGGGTGGGCCGGGGCCCGCTTACTGCACCTGCTGAACGAAGGCGCGCGTCCCAAGCGGAGTCGGAGGCGGAGCTGGAGTCGCAAGCAACCGCCAACTCACACGTCGCCCGAATCGCACACTTACTGCATGGACCCATCGAACCCAGGGAGAAGGGAGGCCGCCCTCAGGCGTGCGGAACGTAACGGGTCAGCGCGGCGCGCTGACATCGGCGCGCACTCCCCCCGACCGATTGGTTCGTGGACGACCCTGCCTTCTCATCCTCTTCCTCATCACCCTCCTCATCATCCTGCTCCTCTTCCTCTTCCTCTTCCTCATCACCCTCCTCATCATCCTGCTCTTCATCTTCATCTTCATTGTCATCATCATCAGCAACAGCATCAACATCATCATCACCAGAATCATCATCATCCGCAGCACCAGCATCATCACCAGCATAATCAATAGCATCGTCATCAGCATCATCGTCATCATCGTCATCGGCATCGTCATAGTCGTCGTCATCAACATCATCATCACAATCATCCTCATCCGCATTCGCATCCTCATCCCCATCCTCATCAGCATCACAATCACACCATCGCCATCGCCATCAGCATCAGCCTCAGCCTCAGCAGCATCATCAGCAGCATCAGCATCAACATAACATCATCGTCGTCGTCGCCATCGTAATCTCCATTGTCATCGTCATCACTCTTCTCCTCCTCCTCCTCCTCCCCTCCTCCTTCTCTTATCCGTAATTGTGCACGCTCTGTTGTGAGAGCTTCGGAGACGCCGTACGACTGTCCCAGCGTCTTCAGGCGGCCCAGCGCAGACGCTTCTCTCCATGTGTTCATGGCGTCTCCCTGGAGTTGCCCAGTGTCTTCCCTTGTCCGCACCCCCGCCTGACACTCCCAGGGGCCAAACTTGTTGAAGTAATCGGATGCGGTCCTGCCTAGTGGCCACAGATGGTGACCAGGACATCTCCCGCCCAAGACGACAACAAAACCACTCAAAAGGCCACAATAATTAAGCACTCCAGAGGTCACGAAAAAACCTTCCACGAAACCCTGGCACTATGGCCACATGGGCCGCATGCCATTCGATCCGCTACCATGCCCCATGGCACCATGAGGCGTGGTAGAATGCAAAGTGCTGTCTGGTAGGCCCCACAGAAGTCTTCTAAGCATCCATCCTCCTCCCCGCACCCATCTGCGTGCACCGACCCCTCCCAAGGCAACCTGGCCTGCCCGACACATCCCCGGGGATCTCCAAGGCTTCCAGTATGGCCCAGAAGGCAACCAAAGCCGCAAATGTGGCTCAACATTGCCTCAGGAGGCACCCAACATTTTGCAAGAAAACCCAAAGGGGCGCCAAAGGGGCCCAAATATGCTTCCAGGACATGAAAGTAATGGCCAGGGAGACCCTCCAGGGTCCAGAAAAACCAAGCTCATCAACAAACACACGGACCATGAGGCAACCTTGTTTGGGTGTTGAGAACATGTCATGTTTCCTGGGGCACTCGAGGGCCTCGGCGGAGCCAGGGGGACGCCAAAAGAGCCCCACGATGACCTCAAGCAGCTCCCCTTGTGGCCCAGGGCGGCCCCACGAGGGCCCAGAGACGACCCAAGACAGCCCCACGAGTCCTCAGACGGCCAAGAGGGACTCAAGACGGCAACAAGACGGCCCAAGGGAGCCCCGCGACGACCCACGAGGGCCGAAAAGGGCCCCCTATAACAGCCAGGGCCCCGCGGGAGCCAAGCGCAGCCCCAAGATGGCCCCAAGTGGTCCCCGTGAGAGCCCCTCAAAAAACACAGTCGGACCAAGGCCATAATAACATCCTGCAAGAACATGAGACCCTGCGCCGGCCCAGACGCACAGGGCATCCAAGGGCACCCTCCCCAGGACGCACAAGAACATCCAACAAGCACGAAGAACACCAGGGTGCCACCCCGAACCGACCTCGATCTTATGCCTCGGTTCGACTGCAGAAACGAACGAGTTGTGCCACATGTTACGGCCTTCGGGGGCGGTGCTCCAAGCATCTCCACACAAAATCTGCTGCGCTGGCACGGCGGCCGCAGGCGGCCGGACACTCTGGTCATGGAGTTCTTTTCGCACCCGCCCTTGGTCAATTGGTCAACCCCGAGCTGCTGCCGCGCGCGCCCTACTCTCTGTCAGCAGATTCGACCCGCCCCCCCCCCCCTGTGGTCCATCCAGGGCTAATTCCGCCCATGCCCCCTTCTGTGTTGGCAACGTCGAGCCGCGCTCGAATCTGGAAGAACAGGCCCGAGAACCCGCGCCAGATTTTTTGAGGATGAAGAGGAGGCGCGCCACAGCAGCACACTTCAGCCTTGCCGCTTGGAACCTCTGGAGGGCACGAGGATCTCTCCAATCAGTACGGTGCATCAGGACTGCGCCAGCCCTGCGGAGAAGAAACAACGGGATGAACACGCTCGGAGGCCCGCGCGGACTTCTCGGATCGGCGCTGGGGCGCGCAGCGCGTCAGGGCGGCGCCAGAGGCGCCGCCAGGAGGGGCCAAGCGCCGACCCAAGAAATCCGCGCGGACCTCCGAAACGCTGCGTTTGCCCTCCCTTCGGATGTACCTGCGCCAGCTCTGGCTGGGCTCACCCCGGGCCCAGCCAGCACCGGTGCAACCGCGCGCGCGCGCAACCGCCCAAGGCTCGTCTGCGCGCAGACAGGCCCTCCTGGCCCGGCCTCTGTAGGCGTGCACACCTGCTCCAGAGTCCATTTTAAACGGGGGGTCCGACTTGGGGGGGGTCCGATTTGAGCTGTCTTGGAGGCTTCCTACCGGTCTGGGCAAAAGGCCGCGGTCTAAAATTGCTCGCCTGGAGGGTTTATGACCCACCCCCTTATGGTGAAATTCGGGATAGACCTGGGCCAAGGATTTCGCACCAGCCAGGGCCGATGCAGGTCCTGGGCCCAGGGTTTGGCCTCTCCAGCAGCAGTGCGGCGGCGCGCAGGGGCGCACAGCAGAATGCAGGTGGGAGCTCCGCGACAGGAGTGGAAGCGGCCACGCCGGGCTCGAACTCGCCTACGCTGCAAAGAGAGAGCCCGAGACAGACGCGAGGGTACGTGGTGGCCAGGGCTGGAAAGGCCAGCGAACACCAGCCAGGGCAGGCCCAGACCCCCGACGTCATGTTTTTTCAATCCATTCCCCGGGGACTGGATTTTCATCCTGCAGTTTTTTGACGGCCCCGAGGCCCGGTGAGGGCCGAAAATATACAAAAATCTCCCGTCGTGACGCGAGGGGGTCTGGGGGAAAAGGCTGAAGTGCTGGCCTCGTTCGTCTTCTCCGACTTCCCTGCGCAGCTGGGGCCGCTGGCAGAGGACACCCCAGAAGGCACGAAGGCAGCCCGGTGCTCCAGGCACGAAGATGACACGGCGCGAGGACCCCCCTGATATCCGACGGCGCAAACTAATGGAAACATCGCTAAAACATACGACCAACACCCCAGACCCCACCTTCCTGCATCATTTTCCGAACGGGATCGAACTGCGAGGGCCCGAGATCAGGCGAAAACGCCCCGCTCGAAACAATTGAAACGCCAGGATCTCAGGGGCAGACGACGACGACGACGACTCGTCACGACGACAACGACGACGACGACGGCGGCGGCGGCGGGAAAGGCGGCGGCGGGGACGGCGGCGACGAAGGACGACGGCGGCGGCGACGGCAGCGACCCGCTTTCCACGACGACGATGCAGGACCGTCCTCGCGAACCTCCGACGTCCTGTCTCTCGTCAACACTGCGGGCCCCCGGAGCTCTAGGGACCACTTCCCGGGAACTGGCCTCTCGCATCGATCATCGCTTCTTGGCGGCCCCGGGAGCCTGGCGAGGGACCCTGCAGGGCGCCCGAAGCGACGAACAACACTCTCCGTCCAGATTTTCTCAATGTGTTGAAGTCTACGACCCCCCCCTTCGGCTGCAGACAGGAACGACCCCAGGCAAGAATGATCCTTGGTGCGCGTCTTTAGGGGGGCCGCACGCGCCAACCGGTGCCCTGGCGGTGTTCCTGCGGGCCCGCGCCAAAGTCATTCCGGCGAAAAATCACTCTTGCACATCGGTCGGAATATTTACATTAAAGAACATGAAATAGGAAGGCGGACGAAGTAGATTGGGTCCGGGGCCTCTCATAGTATCGCAGAACATGGCCAAGTCATATTGATTCTTGAAGTACGAAGCCGCCTCAAGTAGATTGGAATCTGGGAGTCCAGAAATAACTTTCAACGACCGACGCGTACGTGTTGTAGCCAACCCCCTACGGTTGCCCTTTTTGGCTTCTGGGTCATTACCCTGGCCCCTGGCGGCCGCTCGGTGCGACCCCAGTGCGCCCGGAACGTTATCGACGAGGCGCAGCTGATGGAAACCCACCCCGGGCCTCGAAAACTTCCGAAACCTTCGGAGAGCTTCAGGACCCCCGCCCCTGAGCCCCTGAGCCTATGCCCACGTTGGGCCAGGCCCCCCCCCTGTGCTGGTGGCGAGGCCCGACTGCAGTGAGATGCATGAAAGGAGGACGGGAAGGAGGGAGGAAAGGGAGGGAGGCAGGGAGGAAGGAGGGAGGGAGGGATGAGGGGGAGGAGGAGGAGGAGGAGGAGGAGGAGGAGGAGGAGGAGGAGGAGGAGGAGGAGGAAGAGGAGGAAGAGGAGGAAGAGGAGGAGGAAGAGGAGGAAGAGGAGGAGGAAGAAGAGAACGAGGAGGAAGAGGAGAAGGAGGAGAAAGAGGAGGAGGAATAGGGGGAGCAGAAGGTGGAGGAGGAGGAATATAAGGAGGAGGAAGAGGAGGAAGAGGAGGGGGAGGAGGACGAAGGAGGGGAGGGAAAGAGGGAAGGTGGCAAGACGTAGCCTGGCGAAAAACCCAGTCATATGGAGGTGTGAGTACCGCAATTGCGAGTACAATCTGAAGTGAAACTCCCCATGGGGCAACGCCTGCATGCGGGCTGTGCCGCTGGGGCCTTCGGTGGAGCTCCCTGTGGAGCCACTGACACCGTAAGTTGAACTCCCTGTGGGGCCACGAAACGTGTGAGGGGCGTGCTTGAAAAAAAAGAGTCTCACACATGCAGGCTGCGCAACTGGGCCTCAAGTGGAACTGCCTGTGGGGCCAAGAACTGTGTGAGGGGTGTGCCGAAACAATGGTGTCGCCCACATGCGAACGGTGCCACTTGGGCCGTAGCCAGGGCTCCCTATAAGGCCACAAAACGTGTGAAGGTGTGCCGGAACGGGAGCGACGCGCACATACGAACGGTGCCATTGGGGCCTTAGCTGGAGCTGCCTGTGGGGCCACGAAACGTGTGACGAGTGTGCCGAAATGGGGGTGACGCCCACATGCGAACGGTGCCAGTGGGGCCGTAAGTGGAGCTCCTTGTGGGACCACGAACCGTGTGAAGGGGAGTGCAGAAACTGGGGTGACGCCCGCATGCGAACGGTGCCACTGGGGCCTTAGCCTGGCGAAGAACCCAACCGTATGCGGTTATGAATACCATAATTGTGAATACGATCTGAAGTGAAGCTCCCGATGGGGCAACGCCCGCATGCGGACTGTGCCACTGGGGCCTTCGGTGGAGCTCTCTGTGGAGCCACTGGGACCGTAGGTTGAAATCCCAGTGGGGCCACGAAGCGTGTGAGGGGCGTGCTGGACAAAAAGGAAGTCGCCCACATGCGGGCTGCGCAACTGGGCTTTGGGTGGAGCTGCCTGTGGGGCCAGGAACTGTGTGTGGGGTGTGTCGAAACGGGGGTTGTCGCCCACATGCGAACGGTGCCGCTGGGGCCTTGGGTGGAGCTCCCTCTGGGGCCACGAAGCGTGTGAGGGGTTGATGCCAATCATGCTGGGAGGAGGGAGGACGGGAAGGAGGGGGAGGAGGAAGGAGAACGCGGGGCGCTGTCTCTTCAAAACGAAGACCCAACACCACAGGATGGTCGGGAAAAAACGGAGGAGGGACGAGGCTGGGAAGGAGGGGTTGGGGAAGGAAGGAGGCCTCCCCCCACCTGCTCCCGCTCCCCCCTCTTCCGCTTTCCTCGCTCCTCCTCCTGCGGCCGAGGGCAGGTCTGCGCGCGCGCCCGACGCTACCCACCGACGCCGAGAAACCGCGCCAGGAAGGTGCAGTGTTCCGCGACGAGCCGTTGTGCCTCGCTCTTCCTCCCCACTCTGAGCATTTTCTTCGGGTGGAGGGCTCGGGGTGAAATCCATATGGGCTTTTGCAGCTCGAGAATCAGTCCGTCCTGTGACTCACCTCTTGCAGACTCAGGCCTCGAGAACCAATCGAGAAACGGCATTCCAGATTTCACCCTCTGCCCTCCGCCCGAAGAACATGCTCGGCGCCGACCAGCCACAACTGGGGGAGGAGCTGTGGTCCTCCCCCCCCTGGGGGAGCCCATCGCGTCGACGATCTCTCGAGAGGGGTGTCGAAATCGATGGGCCCCCCAGGGGGGTGAGGACCACCGCTCCCCCAGCTGTGGCTGGCCTGTCGTGCCTCGCTCGTCCTCCCTGCTCCTCGAGGCCTCGCGAGGCGCCGCGCGGCCCCCGCCGCCTCGGGGTCTCGTGCCTCAGGATGAGGCTGGGCACGCCCTCGGCGACGGCCTCCGGGAGGCCGCGGCCGGCACACGGTGCGCGGCCTCTCCAGGACTCCCAGCTTCCATGGGCCCAGGGGGGGGGGCCCGAGCAACTTTGCACAACTTGTGGCGTGTCTTCACATCTTCTGGATTTTCGTGCTCCCCCCCCCGTTTCCCATATGCATTCCCTCGCGTTCTCGCGTCTTCACATCTTCTGGATTTTCGTGCTCCCCCCGTTTTCCCATATGTATTCCCCCGCGTTCTCGTGTCTTCGCATCTTCTGGATTTTCGTGCTCCCCCCCGTTTCCCATATGTTTTCCCCTGCGTTTCCATGGAAGTCCGCGCGTCTGTGTGTCTGTGCCTCTGTTTCCGTCCTGAAGGCTGGCCTCGCGCGCGCGCCCACGAAGGGGCACGAGGTCCAGGCAGAGAGGAACAAACGCAGCCACTGGCGGCGACAGCGACGGCGGCGGCCAGGATGGCGACCGCAGAGCGCCCGCAGCGGGACGACTGGCAGCGGCGGTGGCGACGACGGCGGCTGCCGCCCGCGCGGGGCGGAGCGGGAAGGCGCCCGAGGCGCGCCGTGAAGACAGACCCGGATGAGAGAGCGCGCCGAGTTCGATGACGGGACGGATGGGGGCAGCCGGCGAAGAGTACGTCGATGCACAGCCCCAGGTCACGACAGAGACCGAGGAGAGCTTGCGACCCAAAGCACCAGCGACAGGGGGGGGGCGGGGGAGGAGAACAGCCAGAAACGCGAGGGGGAGCGGGGCAAGGAGGGTGAGGGCGGATGGGGGAAGGAAGGAAGGGGGGAGGGAAAAAGGAGAGGAATGAGGGGAGGGGGGAAGAGAGGAGAGATTGAGGAAGCAGGGAGAATCGCGCAACACCTCACAGGGAGGGGCGCTGGAGGACACAATCAAAGGAGGAAGGGAGTGCAAGAGGGAGGGGGGAGCAAGAGAGGGCCTCCTCCTCACCCTACTGCCCTGCCACCTCTAAGCGGTCGAACTGGGGGGGAGACGGGAGGATGGGAGGAGGGCGGGGAAGGAACGTCGATGACGATCGACGAAGGCGCACGCAACACGACGTATGACGAATGATGATGACGACGAAGACGACGAGGGCCTTTCGAGCGAAAAGGGAGACCGGGGGTGGGGGAGGATACCAACAACAACAGCAACAATAATTTGAAGACTGTTCGCCCTTATATGCTCGAGTGTCCAATAACGCGTATTTCCCAAAAACCTTCGATACCCGCCCTCTTCGTCTTCGATCGAACCCCTTTTGGGGGGTATACCTTTCTTCCCTCCAGGCCGGGCCCCGGCAAGCGGCGGGGCGGCCGCGGACCGTCGGCCTGGCCAGCGGCAGCGCTGATCGGCGGGGCGACCGCGGACCGTCGACCCGACCCCAAGAGGGACGGACAGGAGACCGACCACGACGATGACGACGACGACGGCGACGACGACGACGACGGCGACGACGAGCGAAAGCGAGAGCGAGAGAGAACGACACCAGGACCACGAAGGGCACGAAGTAGGCCACGAAGGGCGACAGCGGGGACACGAAGGGAATGCGGATGGGGCCACGAAGTGCGCGAACGAGCGGGGGCCACGAAGTGCGGATAATGCGGGGCCACAAAAGGCAACTATGGGGCCACTGAGGGTAGCAACTGGGCCACGTAGGACAGTGAGGGGGACACAAATGGCGACAGCGGGGCCACGAAGGGCATGCATATGGGGCCACAACGGGCGCGACTCCTGGGTGCCTTGGTGTCGGGAGCGCGGCGCTTTGGCAAATTGTAGGAAATTCCAACGCAAGGCCATTCTTCAGTAAGTTGCAAGCAAGTCTTTAGCGAGAGCGCGACTCCAGAGCGCCGGGAGAGCGATTCTTGAATACATTGTAAGGAAGTCCCCAGCGAGAGCGCGGTTCCTGATCGGGCGGGAGCGGGGGTGGTGGCTCAATTGTGAGGAAGTCTCAAGCGGGAGCCGTTGTTTTTGTAACCCGGGGGCCAGAGGCCAAGTTTGAGCATCAAGACTTTCCCTGTCAAAAAACAGGGTGCGAGCGTCGAGGGGCACACTTTGATTGATAAAAAACAATATGCACCGGTGGGGGCGGATCAACAATACTTATTCTTCAGAAATGAGAATTATTCAACAACAACAACAACAACAACAACAACAACAACAACGACAACGACAACGACAACGACAACGACAACAACAACAACAACAACAACAACAACAACAACACCAACAACAACAACAACAACAACCACAACCACAACCACAACAACAACAACAACACCAACAACAACACCACCACCACCAACAACAACAACAACAAAACACGCAGGTTCCGAAGGGGACGGGGGGACATGGAGGGTGAGAGGGGGCGGATGGGGGAAGGATGGAGGGATGGAGGAAAAAGGGAGAGAGGATAGATCGAGGAAGGAGGGAAGAGGCAAGATCGGGCAAACACCTCGCAAGGAGGGGCGTCGGAGGACATGTGGAGGGCGGGCTGGAGGGGAACATGAAGGATAATGAAGGATAGGAAAAGCGAAGATATGAGGGATGACGGAGTGAGGACATCTTCCTTGTACTCCTGCCCTGCCACCTCTGAGCGGTTGGAATGGAAGGGGGAGGGGGCGATGGGAGGAGGGAGAGATGGAAGGGGGTCGGGGGGACGTCGATGACGATCGACGTTGATGCAGGACACATGGCCTACGAGGCACAACGCACTACGGCGACGACCGTACAACCGACGACGACGACAATGACGACGACGACAACGACAGCGACAACGACATTGACAGCGAAAACGGCAACGACACCAACAACAACAACAACAACAACAACACCACCACCAACAACAGCAATCATTTTAAGACAGTTCGCTCTTATCTGCTCGAGTGCCATTCAATGTGCATTTCCCGCGCCCTCGATACCCGCCCTCTTCGTCTTCGATCGTATCCCTTTTGGGGTCTATATCTTTCTTCCCTGCAGGCCGGGCCCCCGCAAGCGGCGGGGCGGCCGCGGACCGTCGGCCTGGCCAGCGGCAGCGCTGATCGGCGGCAGCCCGACCCCAAGAGGGACGGACAGGGGACCGACCACGACGACGACGACGACGACGACGACGACGGCGGCGGCGACGACGACGACGACGACGACGACGACGACGACGAGCCAAAGCGAAAGCGGGGCCACGAAGGGCAGGGAGGGGGCCACGAAGGGCGACAGCGGGGCCACGAAGGGCATGAGTATGGGGCCACGAAGGGCGCGAACGAGCGGGGGCCACGAAGGGCATATAATGCGGGGCCACAGAGGGCAACGACGGGGCCACTGAGGGTAGCAACGGGGCCACGTAGGACAGCGAGGGGGCCACGAAGGGCGACAGCGGGGCCACGAAGGGCATGCATATGGGGCCACGACGGGCGCGACCGAGCGTTGGCCACGAATGGCATACGTATATTGGGCCGCAGAGGGCAAGGACCGAGCCACTGAGGGCAGCAACGGGGCCACGAAGGACAGCGAGGGGGCCACGAAGGGCGACAGCGGGGCCACGAAACGCATGCATATGGGGCCACGACGGGCGCGACCGAGCGTTGGCCACTAAGGGCATACATATAAGGAGCCACGATGGGCAGCGAGTAGTCCGCGAAGGGCTGCAACGGGGCGACGAAAGGCAGCGAGGGGGCCACGAATGGCTGCAACGGGTCCACGAAGGGCAGCGAGCGGGCCACCAAGGGCTACAACGGGGCCACGAAGGGCAGATTCCTAACTAAGCTGTGAGGGAGTCCTAAGCGTGAGCGCGACTCCTGGGTGCCAGAGTGTCGGGAGCGCGGCGCTTGAGTAAATGGCGGGGAAGTCCAACGCAAGAGCGCGATTCTTCAGTATCTTGCAAGCAAGTCTCCAGTGAGAGCGCGACTCCAGAGCGCCGAGAAACCGATTCCTGAAAACATTGTAAGGCGAATATCAATCGAGAGCGCGACTCCTGAGTAACATGCAAGGAAATCTCAAGCGGGAACGGGTCCTGGCTAAACTGTGAGGACGACTCATGCGGGAACCGTTATTGTTGTTATCTGGGAGCCAACGACACAGTTTGAGCCTAATGGCTTCCCCTGGTTTAGACAGAAAGCAGGTGCGAGCCCTGGGGGAAACACTTCAATTGAAGAGACAGTGGTACCTGGAGAGGACAACAATACTTATTCTTCAACAGTGAAGGGTCAACGACAACACCATCATCAACAACAGCATCATCATCAGCAACAACAACACCCATTTCAATACTGATTGTTTGTATGTGCTTGCGCGCCACTCAACACGTAAGTCCCAAACCTTCGGTACCCGCCCTCTTCGTCTTCGATCAGAACCCCCTTGGGGACATATCTGGCTTACCTGCCCCGTGCATGGATAGCAGGCCCTAAGGCAGGGGAAGGGAGGACGGATGGAAGGGGGAGAGAGAGAAGGATGGAGCACGAGAGAAATTAGCAGGAGGGGGGCTAGGAACAGAAAACACGTGGCAGAACCAGAGCAGGCCCAAGCGGGTGGGTCGGGAAGCCGGGTCCAGGCGGCCAGGGAAGGCAGGTTGCTGAAGCGTGAATCCCGCATGGATCGCGAGGAAGTCTCGATTCCCAAGTAAATCGTGAGAAAGGCCACAGCGAAAGCGTTTGATTCCTGACTGTCGAAGGCGCGGCGTGTGAATAAATTGCGAGGGCCTCCCACGCGAGAGCGCGATTTCTGCATACATTGTGAGAAAGTCCCGCGCGAGAGCGCGAGTTTAGAATAAAGTGTGAGGTATCCGGCGGGAGCCGTTGTTGTTGTAAACCAGGAGCCCAACACATAATTCTGAGACCCGAGATTTTCTCTAATGAAAAACAGGGCGCGAGCCCCGGGAAGGGTACTTCAATTGAAAAAGCACCATGTGCCCCGGAAAGTGGGGATCAACAGTAATTATTCTGTAGTGAGAATTCAGCAACAACAGCGACGACGACAAAAACAACCAACAACAATAACATCAACAACAGCAACACCATCA